GGAGCCTCGGAGTCCAGCGCCCGGGAGGCCATTGCGTTGCTTACCTACGAGCCGGCGGATCCCTGGCCGTTCGTGGGCCTGGAGGAGGAGGGCCCTGGCACTGGGCTCCCGGCAGAGGAGTTGCCTGCAGCCCTGGAGTGGGGAGGGCAGCTGCCCGCCTACCTGCCGCAGGAGGAGTGGGTGCCCGCGAGGCCCGCCAGGCTGGCGCCCCCCCAGTCGGAGGGCAGCAGCAGCGACTACTGTGCCCTGGGCTGCTACGGGGGGAGCCGCCCCCCACCTCTCCCAGGAAGCGTGCAGAGTTCTGGGCCCATCTACGCCTCGGCCTGCGGACTGTCCTGCGACCAGCAGAGCCTGGCTGCCAGGCAAGGAGGTAGCTGTGTGGGAGCGGGTCTCGGTCAGGACCCAGACCCCGGGGAACAGGCTGCATGAGGACCCCGGGCGTGTCCGTCTCCCATCCTCCGCACACAGTGGGCGCGGTCCTGAAAGTCCCCGAGCCCCGACTCGGCCAGCTGCATCGTGTCCACTTCGGGGAAAATGGGCTGAAGCTTCTGGAGCGGACCCTTGGCTGGCACTGGACGGCCTGCAGAGGGATGGAGGCAGGAGGCCCCTCCTCCCTCCTCTCAACTGAGCACCTGTGGGGCGGGGCCTCTGCACCCCGCATCCTGCCTCTGCTTTCTGGATCCATCCCAGGCTCCTCTGAGAAGAGGGCTGTTCTGCCCTCGCCCCTTAAAGGCCAGCCTGGGCCCAGTGGACACAGGTGAGATGCTGTGACCAGCCGGAGTGTCCTCTTTCTGTGCCTTCCTGGGGCATCTGAGATGAAAGGGCGGGTAGTAGCTGTCACAACGCTGATGGGGGTGGGGGTGGGGGCAGCCCAGAGAGGGGCAGGGTGGTGGCCTGGCCACTCCTGGGCTTTCTGGGCTCTTGGAATAGCACCAGCTCCAGCTGAGGCCAACCCTGCCCCTCCTGCCCTCATCTATCACGGGCCCCGGAGGCTGAGAGCTGTGGCCAACGTCGGCTAGAAGTGAGCACCCAGCAGTGGCCTGGCGTGTGCAGGACCCTGCCCCTAACCCCCGCCTGTGGAGAGAGGGGGACAGAGCAGAGGGCGCCTGCATCAGCCTCCTGAGTGACATGACCGAGGGCCACACACTCCGTGGCTTGGAGAACAGACATTTGTCTCCAGGGGCCGCAGGGCCTCGAGGACACAGGGAAGGGCTCTCTCCAGCCACGGGCAGCGCCTCGGCTTGGGCAGCGCGGCTCCGACCCCCACAGGGGTTTCCTGTGGGTGTGTCTGTCCTAATCCCCCTTTTTATTGCAACACAGTCACAGTGGATTAGGGCTGATCAGATGACTGCATCTTGGCTTGGTCGTCTAAAAAGACCCTATTT